GATGTCAACTCATGATGCGATCCTGTAACCAATCAAACAAATCCATACAAAACCAATACTTGAAAATAGTATAGTCGTCTAATCAGCTTCATCTCTGCATTTTGTTTCAGGAAGGATGTTGAAAGAACACAATACTATTTTACGACCACTAACTGGAAATTCATGTCCCGCATATATTTTATGCTTGCTGAATATCTGTCATTGTATAAATGAACATTTTTGGGTTGTTTTAAGTACGTTCTCCGTGGGCAACCACATGCGCTTTCGTTTCGTGTACTTCGAACCTCAATTTTCCGAACAATCGATTTTTCAAGATTCCACATGTACTTCTTAATACAGCTTTGTTCCATCTGGCCGTACACACAGCTTAACACATTGTAGGATGTGGAAGAGTGGGTTTATTGTAGGACATTATTCGAAATCCAATACTGTTTACACTATGCTCGTGAGATGGTTTTCCTTAGTCCAGTCTGCTCCAGTGGTAGTTGTTTTTCCGGGAAACTTTCAACTTTCCCTAGTCGATGCCCTTTACTATTTCGCTTTGTGCGCTGGCAGTATTATTCCCCCCACTTCTTGCCTTTTCGTGTAGTTGAGGAGTCTTTACCACACATTATGTTATGGGTACTCGGAGATAGAATTGTTCGGGGAGTTCAGAGGGATAGTACGTGTAACCAGTTAGGAACTATATCTTATTTATGATTTATAATGTCTTCTTAATCTATAGTATAATGTTTGTCTTTCCGTGCGTTTCCCGCTTCACTTGCCCACTGCTATGCGTTCAAAAATAAACGTTCAAAGCTTAAGTGAGTGTTTCCTAACAATAACAGGTGTTGGTCGCGAGCTGAGTAATTATCTTTGTACAAAATTTGGTCTCTGTATTCATTAACCGAGTTTATTCAGAACACGCCTCCTAATTAATTATAGTTAACTGCAGTCAATGCACGGTCATTTTCGGATTTTTTCAGTTATTCATACTTTTACCCATAAATTTTATACTTTGCAATGTCTATTTAACCAAGCGTGAAAGCTAATTTTATAAAACCTTGTCAGCAAACTGTCAGAAACTGTCAAAGTCCAGCTTTTACTACGCTGGACCTCACGCTGCTCCTCGAAGACTTTCAGAAAAAATTTGCAATAACCAACGCGAAAAACCAGAACATAGATTGGCGACTCCAGAATCCTTTATTCTTACTCCAATATGTAACCAACAATAAGGCTGTTATACACAAGGTCTAAGAATAAATGTTATAACAATAAATCACGATAATACTCCCGATAGGTTTCTGTCTTCCACCGAACAGCGAACGATGAGACGATGACTGACGGATTGATGACTCCCGTGAAAAGTATGTAGGAGTTGGGTTTGAGCAGACAACCATGAATTGATAGTTCAATCTTCAACTACATTGACACTGGGTCACCCGGACAAAGCTGAAATGGAGAACAAACAGCAAAGCCAACCCACCACAGACATTCCCAAAGTGACACAATGTGTTTTTTTCACCACCACAGTTCAGGGGAGCCAGTAATAAGGATGAAATAAGTGAGTCTTAACCCCCTTAAAAATCTCGGACAGATAAGACATGTCAGGATATAATGATGCTCAAGTAAATTCGTAATGAAGTATACAAATGGTAGCTTAGTCGGAATTGGGGATAAAAGATACGAGGAAACAGAACATGGGGACCTACGAAATGTCCCACGAACCTGTGTAGGGCTCCCAGGATCCCGTCTTGACAAGTAGCCGGGCATATTGGTGGATATTAAGGACTGAAGCACTATATTTTATTTCGATCCAGACAATCATTATTGCCCTTAAGATAACGACCTAAGTTCATCTGTGGGTGAAGAGCTACCGAAATGCATATTGCTGTCCTATAGATTGCAGCAACTCATATTTGTGACCACTATCATAGCTGCTAATTGGCACGCGACTCCCTGTTTGCTTTTTTGATATCAAGCTTTGATTTTTTTGCTGCTGGAACTATGGTTGCAGCGTTGGATTGCTTCATGTCTGTCCCAGTTATTAAGCACATAGAGCTATGGGTTCTTTCATGATGAATACTTCCCAATAGGTCACCAGAAGCAAAGATACATGTGGAAGTTCTCGGCACTATTATCCTTATAAATGCACGTGTTTATATGAGTAGATTGTTGCGAATGAATAGGAAATTAAAAGTTTTAAAAATTAAAGAGTGAGGAAGTCGTCAGTACTGGAGCGAATTCAGCCACAGTCGACTGAACCGAGTGAAGGGAATTAGGAAACGGTGACAAATGTAGGTAGTATGATCTTATGGGAGACATTGGGCTAGCAGCACATATAGTGCTAAATTTTCATGACTACTTCTAACACGGATGTTGCTAGGAATATGTTTACTTATATTGTGAAAAATATTACCAAACATTTTAAAGTCTAATTTTTAGGCAAACGTATTTCTCTGAAAGCCCGGTCGGTAATATATTGATAGAATTTCAAGCCAGCCTAACCTGAGGTCAAGTACTGACGTGAAATGGGAGGAGGTTTGTCACATATTTTTAAGTGTGGTACGACAACCAGGGTGAATCGATTTCTGAGAGTAGGGGGCGTTGCGCTAGGGTTTCTAGTACTTTAGGAAGCCAGTTATTTCTGCTGCTTGGACGAATTTGGCCTCCCCTTGGTTTCAACTAGAAATAACATCCATGAATTCTGTGTGTTCATCCGCTAGACTTGAGCTTTGACCACACTATCCTCCAACTTGTAGCATAACCCACCTGAACTGGTCGCCAGGCCGTTCTTACTACCACAGTGGCTTGTGAGAGCAGAGTATAACACTTGCACCTGTTCAAAGCTGCATTTACTAACGGTAGCGTGAAAAGAGTATGAAGGTACAGTCACACCAAAACTCGGCCGACAAGCTCTTGTCCCTTGAAGATTCAATTAGCCACCACTTGTTCCAATCCGCGCAGACAAGCAGGTTGATTGCTGAAAGTCAAACGGCTGGAGTTCAACTGATTTAAAGACGTTCTTCGACCACCCACAGTACCATTACTGATAAAATGGCCTATGTAGATGAAGTGTGGGTAATTAGATCGAAGAACATCTGTTGGTGGGATACCACACAAGAGGCGGTTGAATTCACTAGGAGATTGGCAAGCACGAGCAGAAAGTGGAATTCCTTTCTATAATACACTTGACCGTATTGTTGAAACTCATGGGCTTCTGCTTTCGACGTTACTGTATAAGGGGCTGAACACGATAGTTATGCTGAGCTTCGATGGCTCTGACTAGATTGGCTCAAGTTTATATCACAGAAAGTCAAATCTGTAACAGGCCCCGTCTAAAGCCTTGCTGAATATTCTTAATAAGAACCCTATTATATCTGTATGTAAGAACGGAGATACTGGAACATTGGCCCAATCATGACTTTGCATGAGAGGGCTTTAGCCTCGGTTGGGTACACTTTTCTGTATAAAAAAGCCGGTAAGTCCTCGGCACGTATAGACAATGGATTGTGAATACCGACTATATGTTTTGTAAGTGAGTTAAGTTCAAGTCTCTTGTTCGGTTTTGGGTTTGGAGGAAAAGATCATGCAGTCAGAGTAACAGTTACTGAAGTATCGGATCCGACAATTTTCAGAGGTGAGTGGCGGTTAGCAGCATCAGTGCAATTACACAACCTTTTGAGACCCGTTTTTATTTAGCTAATGTTGGCTTAGGGGTTAATTAATTACCACCTACAATATAACAAATGACAAGAGCCTACCAAACAAGTGTATTGCGCCACTAAACCATTGTGAGCTTCCTGATGGCGCTTCAGAGAGCTAAGACCCTAGTGCTGGACCATTTCTCTACTTTTAAGGTTTTCCGCCGCTGGAGTTCCTCCCTAGCTTTCGTGACTACTGTACAGCCAGTGGAAGGCTTTGAGCGACCTCTGATAATGGTGGAGTGACATGAAGACTGTGTAAAGTCATTAAACCCCCACCACACTATTAATGAGTGTAAGTCTAAGCTCGCAATTTACAATTGCCTATTCTTTGTTGTCTGAGCATTGTAAATACTACAACATTCCATTCAATTATTTTCTCGATATTTTAACCAATTTCTCTACCTACTATATGACAAATTTAACTTTCCATTGTTTTGAAAATTTTGTTTTAAGTTTACATAAGATATTTATTTTGCATATCAAGGAGTTATCCCTATTCACCGATTCCCTTATGGTCCTATATTCAGATGACTTAAAAATTTGGAAGGAGCTGAAGGGAAACAGAAACAAGTTCACGTTGCAAAATGACCTAAACAAATTGTCAGAGTGGTCCGAAGAATGGATGCTCCAAATAAACGTAGCAGAATGTGCAGCCATGGGCATCGGACAAGCAAGCATAAGCCCCTACGAACTAGAGGGAATAACATTCCCATCAGTTCAGGCTCATTAGGATTTAGGTGTCATTGTAAGTCACGAATTAAAACCCACAGCAAGCTGCTGCGTAGTGACTGCACGCAGGTTTACATCCTCATCGGTAATTCTCAGAGCCCTTAATGGAATCACTAGAAATATGTTCGCCTCCATATATACATCTCTGGTGAGGCCAAGACTAGAAAACTGTATGCAGACGGCCAATCCCTGTTTTGAAGAGGACTCATTTATTATAGAAAGGGTGCAAAGGAAGGCAACGCGTATGATTTTCGGCATGACTAACTTATAATTCGACAGTTTGGATTTTATCTTCCTTTCATACCGTAGGCAGAGAGGGGATTTAATCACAATGTTTAAAATTTTAAATAATGACTATTGACCTGATCTATTCTCTCTTTTCCCTCCCAAAAGGTCGGAACACTTTACAGAAAATAGCAGGAGGAATCAGAAGCCAAGAATAAGTCATATTTTTGTTGAGTGCTGGTCCTCACACCCACTCATTAACTCTTGAAACCGACTCCCAGAAGAAGTGGTGCATGAAATCTCAACTGACTCATTCAAAAGAAAAACTTACTAGAACTGGATTAAAATATGATAAAATAAGGCGAAGTTTAAGAATAGCGTCCCAAAACCTTCAACGCTCAAATGTCCTTGAACGCATGCTAGTCGTTGGCTAACGGTTCCTGTCATTATCATAGCTGAAATACCAACCCTATTCATCAAATAAGGAGCAAGTTTCACCCAGATAACACTTTTATTACTGTTTGGACAATGTGTTAACATCTCGTTAGGGTTAGGATGGGGGTTAAGGCGAGTATTGTGGTTAGAGTTAGGGTTACGGTCATTGTGTGCGTCGGTGGCACAATGGTTAGGGTTAGGGTTTAGGGTTAGGGTAGCGATTAGGAATAGATTTTTCGTTTATTTCAAGTTCTTTTGTTATCCTTATTTCCCTTGTATGTAGTCGCCAATGCTCTTACTGGAACCGTAGTAACTAAACCGAGGGCTGAGGAGAGGACTACACAGCAAGAGAAGAGAGATGAACCATTCCCAAAACAGCACACCTTCAGTCTCTTTGGTGAATACATCAACAGAAACTAGTGCAAATTAGCAACTGATACTCTTCATCGCAACTGGAACGTATTTTTAAGTCATATCAGAGAAATATAATCCGTTTAATGTTTTTTTCATGCATTTTTGTGTAAATATACGTTAAATTTTATGCAAAATTCCTCCTATTTTCTGATTGGTCGGCTCAAGGTCATTGTGCGTTCGCATCTCTTGGGACTCCATTCTTAAACTTTGCCTAAAATAAGTCTGAAGTCTTAATCTGAAGTCTGAATATTGTTAGAAACCTCTGCATTGAATTCTGAGGTTACGTGGGAATTTCGGTTATTCAAGGTCCCCTTACCAAATGACCTTCCATGGCGTTCCTTGAATCTGATTAGCCCTTGTAAGTTAGCTGTTGACATATGTTGACTTTGACTGTGATAGTTTACATCTGTCTGCTTTCATTCATTTACTTTTACGGGTGAAGCATGTGCGCGTTGCATACCGTCACAAAGTCGTGTGATCACAATTGATATGATTATGAACAATAATAAATTTTGTTCGAAAGTGTGTCATCCAGCAAATAATGCTGTTTCACTGTGTGTTACATCTAATAAACAAACTAATATGGAAATACCGTCACTTAGATGTTGTGTACACTACTTTATTGTTCAGTGTGTATTATGTTTGATTTACTTTTCAGACTATTTATCTGGATGAATTTGATGTCTAAAGCCTTATTACTTCACACTTTCTGGTACCAGTAACATTACACTGCATACCTGAATATTGCATTACTATGGAACGTCTAACATTGTTTCACTTACGCCAAGCGGATAGGAGTTATGAACCGGAGACGAAGACCATCATTGATCAGATGGATACAGAAACTCTTGTTCGGAAGGCATACTATGAGAAACTTTGTCAGTGGAAAGACGACGCACTTCGATTATTCAAACTGAATCATGTTAACTACCTCTACAAGAGACTTTACAATCTACCCTCTACTTTCGAGCATTTGGATGCAAGTCAGTCATGGCTGGCGTATTGGATGGTACATGGTTTAGGCCTTTTAAACGTCGAGATTCCGGAAGAAATGTCTCTGAAACTGATATCGTTAATAGCAGATATGCAGGTATTTATCACTTGTTATTCTCAGGAATTTCTCTAGAAACCGGGTTTGTATTTTACCCAGCTTAAGAATTGTAGTTATGTTTTGAGGCCTGTGAACTATTATTGGTGATTGGAATTAAGTCTCAAGTTTCTCTAATCCACGGATTAGTGGTGTATGTGATAATTTTGACTCAGTATTTTGAAATAGACTCTGTCGCCTTTTTTCGATGGGATATGATCCGGTAAAAACTTCTTGCAGAAGCAATGCGTATAAAGCCGCTTTCAATGAAAGCATTAAAAAATAATTGCCATACTCATGTAAAAAGTCTCGGCTTTCCAGTTTCTGAAGAAATTGTCAAATGTTATATACCAGATGGTTAACTAGTGTATTGCATTTGGTAGTGCTTCGCAATAATTGCTCACTTTGAAATCACTTTATTAGGGCTTATGTTTGCCTTTTTAACCTATCGTTTGAACTCCTTACTGCACTTAAGTTGTAGCCGGTTAACTGAATCATAATGTTCGTTTGTCAATCTGTAAACTAAGCTCTCTGAGTAGTTAAGCAGATGTATGCTTTGTTTCTAATTGATATTCGTTCCTTAGTAGTGAAGGCATATTTAATCATTTAGCCCCATTGTTATGATGTCTTATATTCCGAAGAAGTAAGTTTATTCCGACTTGGTTTGATGAAATAAGGCTTCTGTTGGTCTACTGAAATCTCACCGAATTTGGTCATCCCGACTAATTAATGTGAACATTGAGTTAATGTGGGAAAACGCTGTTGCATTACAGACACTTGGTAACTACACACGCAAGCCATATCTTCTCTGAACTACTGTTAGTCTGACACATTTACTAATGCATTGAAACAGATCGTGTTTGTCTCGTCCGACTGTCAGACTCAGTGCTGAGGTAACAGTCATCATTCTTCTCTTCCAAATTCTTAAAGAAAAAAAGTGATTTCAGATGAAATGAACAGCTGGGGATTTTCACTCACCTACATGTTTCTGATAGCACGCAAAAATTGTCTCATCATTTAATCGTTCTATCAATGCCTTTTCGTTAATCCTCATTACTAACATTATTCTTTAATCTCATGTCTAGCTATTTTTGGTTGATATCGTTAACACGTTATGACAGCGTCTATTTTCATCAATTCCAACTGTATGTTGGCGCTTCTATGCCTGAACCGAATGCAAACCCGAACAACAATGATTACCCCTGACAAAATTGGGGTTGTATATGTTATTTTATGCAAGGTTCATGTGTGTTTATTCATTTTACTCATGTGGTTCCATGACTAGTTCTAATCTGCTCAAGCTACTACATCAAGTTCTATAGCAGTAGGTTCACTGAAACGTGTGTTCAGTAGGCTACATGAATTGAGTAAAGAAGCTAAGGTTATGATATTAATAAATAACTGTTAGTGGTTTTCGTGCTTACCTATCGGTTTAAATTAAGATTAAATCAGATATGCACTATATTGATGGTAAATTTAGATGTTAATACTAATGTCATTTTTGACTAAACTCGTTTATTTCCCCATATAGGACCCGGATGGTGGCTTCGGCGGCGGACGTTATCAGTTTTCACACCTTGCAACATCATATGGTGCAGTTAACTGTTTAGTATCACTTCGTCGTCGAGACGCTCTAGATATTATCAATCGAGATGCTTTGGCTAACTGGATGCGGAAACTGCGCCAGCCAAATGGTTCTTTCGTGATGCATGTAGGCGGAGAGATTGATGTTCGAGGTGCATATTGTGCTATAGCAGTGGCTAGGCTAACAGGACTTCTCAGAAAATGCCCTGATTTATTTGAATCAACTGCGGAATGGGTGGCTAGTTGTCAGGTTAGTTTTATCGCCTAACATTTTGGTTGATGGTAACTGCAAGTTGAACACAGCATTATTTTTAAAAGGAAAAATTGTACTTAATCCCTTTCAGATATATGAGTTTTATAAACGTTCATGAATTTCCATCATAGAATAAAAGTTAATACAATGGTGACGTTTCGGAGTGCAACTTATAATTAATCATATCAAGGCATTCACATAACTTTGAAACGTTATACTATTTCTTATTGTTTTTGATTTTATTGGTAGTAATATTTTACGTATCGGCGTTGGATCATTCCTGTTGCACATGTTAAGTTTAGATTTCATAGACATAAACTTCTCTCTTCACCTACCTGTATTAGTTTAAAAACGTAGGAAAAGTTAAGAAATCGAGCTACCAGGACAAGAAAAGAGTGATAACTACTTCTTTCTGAACGCATAAATCTGGTTCTAAACATTTTATGGCAGTTGCTTACGCGAACTTAAGGAGAATTGAACTGTAACTTTGACGAACTTCGCGGTGTCCTCTTCATGACCCATATTGCTGACACACCTGGCAACAGGATTGTAGGCTTTTTAGTATATGCTCAAAAAATCGAAGATGCCCCATTCTTTCTGTTCTTCCAATGTAGTTGATACGACAGATGTGTGTAAACTCTACCATACCATATTTAGCACGAGTTTTATGTAAAGAGTCAGATATCAGAAAAGAACTTATAAAGTTTTAAAATCAGTAACTGAACTGCGGAGTATAAGCAGAGATTATTATTGTTACGTGTATTATCTATGATATTATATACTTACAATTCATTATGTTTCCTCCAACCTTCACTTCTTTGAGGTTTTATTAATGATTCGTTGAAAGTTTTATGTATCTACACATTTATAAATGGAGCTAAATTGTTGCAATATGTATAGAAATGCTGAAAATTGCATTCTGTATAATTATTATTCTTTGGAACAAAGTGATAATTATTAAATTTGTATATACAATTAGGGCATCTTCTGTTCCTTGATTGTACTAAATAACTGCAGGATAACTTCTGACGGGTGAAGCTTTCAGTCTTCTGTTGATTGTAACTGAAGAATTGTCATCTTTAAAATCGAGTTGTATAAAAATAGGCTTCTTTTTCACTGTGATTGGTTTTGCATTTGTATCAACACATCTTCTATGCCCGTTAATTATTTTTCGAAGATAACCGGTATTTTCAACACCTTAGCAATCACAGACACTCTTCCGCCAATTTGTCAGCAGAATATGTTCTTCTGGCTGTGTACAAGCTTTGACCAATGCTTGTTTTTAGCTGGAGGGGGATGTCTTAGATTCCACAAACTGTTTTTTCACTCAAGTGTGTTCTTATTTTACTACTATGCGTAGGATAATTCAGCATCTTGTCAATAATTTTCTTTATTAGACCTATGAAGGTGGTTTCGGTGGTCAACCGGGATTGGAAGCCCACGGTGGTTACACTTTCTGTGCTGTAGCGGCATTGTGTTTCTTGGGTAGATCCGATCTAATCAATTTGCCTAGACTATTGCATTGGGCGAGTCACCGTCAGATGGCAACTGAAGGTGGTTTCCAGGTAGGTTTTTCTTATATTTAATTTATTATTGGTATCAGTAGTGATGTAATGATTGCTATTAACCCTCGTCTAGTCTACCAGCTTGGAAACAGAGGAAAGGTATGGAGCTCCCCTGGAAAATCAACCAGATCGCTATAGGAACTTTGAGGCGCAGAGAAATACGAAAAAAAGCCTATTGTTCTCTGGGATAACGGGGACGGAATAAAGCTGACGGGCGGGAAGCTAGTCAGTCGATGTGACTTCTCCCGATGAAAGTGAAAGCAGGCCTAAGGGCATAATAAATCCGAATGGTGTTTAAAGCTGGCATTGCTGCTCAGATCGCGGAACGTGTGAGAAAATATGACATAAAGTTGTTCGGATTCTATGAGAAGATAAATGGAATGGATGTAGACTCTTCATATTATTAACTGCATAATCAGTAATCTACTGAAGAAGGGCCACACTCAACCTACTGGACACAAAGTAGAGTAGATTTAGGTTTAGGCCACTGTCAACTGCAAGGAATCCTCGCGATCAAGGTGAAAGTCTTCGAAGAAACTGATGATGGACCTTAGTTCAAGTTCATCACTCAAATCTGAAGGACAAAGGACACATTCACTGCAATCATCGGGAAAATGCCTGGGGCGTCAATCAACATCATTGAGGAAACCTGTATGGGAGAATACTAGAAATCTCTTAAGCTTCATGGAAAGAAACTTGTATGGATATCTTACTTAATAAGAAGAGGCAGAACAAATAATATCTGTGTATGGGTACCTGAAAGCTGACAGAGGCACTGTGAAACAGAAGACAATGAGTGAAAAGTGAAGCTGAATACAGTCTAAAGTGGGCTCAACAAATGAATGGTGAAGAGTGTTAGGAAGAGTAAAGACTTTTCAATAACACCACTGACAAGTGAAGCGAAACAGACTTCAAGTAAAAGATCTTAGGACATTATATGAGATCACCAGATCTCTATTCGATACGAAATCAACACAGATGAAACCAGTGAAGGATAGTGAATGAAAGTGAATAGGGGGAATGTCATGCTAATCACCTCAAAGGGCTTTTAAATTGACCATTGTCTACAACTCCTTCAAAAATACCACCAATAGGCAAATAGAACTGCTAGTGATGAACACCAACCCTCCTTCAAAAGCAGAAGTCTTGAGGACCATGCAGTAACTGAACTCTCAGAAAGCAGAAGAATCGGATGAGATTCCCTCAGAAGCACTGAAAATGGACATACGATACTATTGCAGAAGTTTTGGAAGGATGTAAAGGTACCTACTAACTGTCAGAAGAGTTACTGGACGCAAAACTCAGTCTGGAATAACCTGGTTTCAGGAAGAGCAAATCATGTGACAATCACATTTGTGACGTTACGCAACACCATCGACGTAGAGCATACAATGTCAATCACCTCTCTACCTTATCGTCATCCAGTTTGAAAATGCCTTCGACAGCGTCGACCGTGAAGTAAATAACTTGGAAACTGCTTCAGCTCTAAGGAGTGCTGCGTCGCCAACCATGTGTCAAACTATAAGCCATTTTTGTTTTATGAAGACGAAACGAAGTAGACAGTGTTATCTTGAGTTGTTGAATTCAAATACCTAGTTCAAAAAGAGTTAAGCAGTCAATACACTGAGTGGTATTTCGACGACTGCCTACACGATATCCACTCTGAATAAAAGTTAATTATATGATTTCAACCATCCTTACAATTATTATTATCCCTACAAACCAATACTTGAATATCAATGAGATGCTCACTGGCGACTGGACCTATTCAGGTAGGTAGTTCTAGTGAGAAGTAGTGACTAGTAGGGTTCAGCAGGTCGGGTGTAAGGACAAATACTCGCCGAAGACATTGGCTAGCCGTTGCACTATGTCGTGAATTGGCAGAAGTTAGAATTCATGGGCTGGCCACTGGATCGGGTCACAGTGGCTTAATGCTCTACGAGCTCTACGAGCCTTGTAATCAGAAGGTCCTGGGTTCGAACCTCGGTGGGTGCGCACTGCTGGAGAATTCCAAACTAGGACGAAACAGCTGTCCAGTACTCCCAGGTTTTCCAACGGTTCACTAACCACTGTCAGCTTATGATGAAATCCTGTAACCAATCAACCAAATCCCTACAAACCAATACTTGAATTATTATTCTCTTCAAATCTTGTTTAATCCAAGCATATATAATCAACGCCCCCCCCGCTCTGATTTTTATTTTGTTTTTTTCTCTGAAGGGTAGGACAAACAAACTGGTGGACAGTTGCTATTCATTTTGGCAAGGTGCTGTTTTCCCAATAGTTGAAGAATTATTATGGTTGTCTGGTGATCCTGCCCTTAACGATACGGACACCTTATATAATCCATCTGCTTTGCAAGTAAGACATAACAGTTTAATATGTACATATATATTAAAACAATTAGTCCATCTGATAAATCTGAATAGGGCATTTAGAAGATAAGTTTCGCGAGATGATATCATCGTTTCGTAGTTTCTTTACAACCGCTTTGCAACTAACATGCTTCAGATTAAATAATAAAATAAAATGCATGACAATTACTCAGTTATATAAAACAAAAGTACTTTCCTAAAGACCAATCCAATCATGTTTAAATAGGTCAAGTAGTCCATTGTAGGGTTAGGTTCAGGTCTACTGCTTTTTTCACACATAGTTTAGGATGTATGTGATTAATCACATTTTGGAATTTCCTCAAGATATCCGCAAGCATATGATTAATTTATCTACCTGCACTCTATCCCAACTACCATTGGAAGCATTATCTTCCGGTTTTGAAATACAAAACTATCCCAATGAAAATAAACAAAATGGAAGTACAATCACAGAATGAAAACCTCTATGAACAAATCTCTGATTTAACTCCCTCTAGTAAAGATAACCTGGACTGGTTTAAAGTTCATCTGGTGGACATTTCTCACTAACCTCTAAGTGCCAGAATACACCAGAAAAATGGTTTATGAAAAGAACACAATAAAGATAATCTTATTATCCTTGAACCTGATAAAGGAGAAGGCGTTGTCATCATGAATGAATCAGACTATAAAAATAAAACGAATGAAATCTTCGAAAATCAGTCCAAATTTCTGGTGGATAATACAACTGATAATGTAGTGTTTGTGGAAAAGTAGATCAATCGTCAGATTTAGATTTTACCGATGCATGGTTTTATAAATGAAAAATTTTATAAACAACTTGAAGCTGTTGGATCACACACTTCCCGGCTGTATGGTCTCCCAAAAATTCGCAAAACTGGGAATCCACTCAGACCAATCTTAGATGTGTCGAATTCTCCATATCATAAAATCGCAAAATGGATTACTTAGGTCTTTGCGCCTGTAAGAGACTCATTATCAAATCATTCCGTAAAGAGTCCATGGGATCTGACCAATATGCTAGACACCTTGAACATTAAGGAGAAGGTTATGTGCTCGATCGACGACATAGAGCTTTTATTCACCAATGCTCTCCTTCATGAAACTGTTGATTTCATTTGCGATTATATCACAAGCAATGGAATAAATTTACCTATTCCTGTCACTTGATGTAAGTGACAGAGAAATTATCTTGATGTGTACAGGGAATATCAGATCCACGTTCCAACGAAAGGAATACAAAAAAATCGACGGGGTTGTGATGGGGTACCCTATTGGGCTTTTGATACAGTCTAGAATTTTCAGCATGTAATACAATATCGAATCTAATTTACTCTTTCCGTTACGTAGGAGAAGAGGAATAATTTTCAGGAGTTAGTGTTTGTAGGGCCTTGATTTATTTCAAGTGTGACCACGGATTGCTTTCAGTGAGAGAACCGTTGAAAACTGGGGAGTACAGGGCAGCTGTTTCATCCTAGTGCTCGACTCATTGGCAATACGCACCCATACGCCACAGGGGGTTCGAACCCAATGTCTACACGATAGGGAATGAGTACAAACACTTGCCATTATTATTATTGTTCCCTTGGGTTCCTAGTGGAACATAGGGATTCAACTGCACGTCTCCACTTGCTTCTGTCTTCTGCTGTGCTTTTCACCTGCACCCATGTTAGTCCATACTCTTTCAACTCCTTCTCTTCACACGATCTCCTCTATGTCACCCTTCCACTGACGTCTCACTCGCCGTTTCCCTTTCAGGTTCCACTTCACCAATGGCCTGACGCGCGCGCAATGTCACCCAGTGGCCTCCTCAACGAGCGAGTGTCCAATCCATCTCCACTTTCTCCTGCATATTTGTTGGTTGGCGATTGCTTTGTTCTTGTTTTGTTTGTTTGTTCCCATAGTTTCTTGTTGGTGATTCTTTCCGGCTCGGCCATATGATCTTCAGTATAGAGCGAAGACAGTTGGTTTTTGGTAAAGGTCTTCAATAGCCTGTTGGAAATATTCTTTGTGACCCGCCCGCCAAGTTTCTGATCCGTATAGAAGAACTGACTGACTTGACGTTGTTTGTATTGAAAATCCGAGTGAATTTTGTTGTTGATGGTGAGTGACGAAGATTTCCAGATTGGTTTCAGGTTGATGAGTGATGTGTTTCTCGCCTTCCTGTTTCTCTCTCGATTTGACATCCTCGTCCGTTCCTACTGCCTGTAGTTGAGACAATGCTCCCTAGATAAGTGAATGAAGTAACCTCTTTCAAATCCCCCCCGTTGATGGTGATAGCTCTGGATGTTGCTGCTGTTATTGTTGTTGGTTGGTTATTTTCATAACTCCCGTCTTGTCTATGTTCACCTGGAGTCCTGTCTTCGCCGACTGCTTCTTCGACCAGTTTGTCGAACACTTACCATGGATGGTATTAACTGGTGCCACTCGCGCTAAAATCACAACTGGTAGAAATTAGAATTCATGGGGAAGTGAGTCAGGACGCAGTGGCACGATGGTCCACCAGCCTGTCTAGCAACCGGAAAGTTCTACGTTCGAACCCTCCAGGGGGGGTGCGTACTACCACTGAGTCCGGAAGTAGGACGAAACAACTGTTCAGTACTCTCTGGTTTCCAATGGTTCTCTAACTGATATCAATCCGAGGAAATAATTAACAGGTCATTTACACTGATAAGGATATGAATGTAAAATTAAGTGGAAATAGTGACAACCATACCTATTAATGACAGAAATAATAAAACCGGGGCGTGGGAGAGGGGCTGTTTGCTTCCCAGTGGATTAGTAGGCTCATTCATATTTAACACTCTTCTCATCACATAAAATGAGTACAGTGAAGGAGCACTTCTGTTGAACAACTTCATTTTCAAGCAGTACACAGTTGTATGTATTGTATTACGGAAAGTGGCTTCACGTTGATTATAGCTATGTTCTTTTGAAAAAAAAATTTTATTTTTATTTTACCGTCTGAATTCATTCCACTTCATCTTCGCCTTCTTTACTGATTTCATCATCGTACTCTTAATTTTGTCTTTTTCAAACAATATTTGACCTACTGTTTTTAAAATCTCAATATTAATATTAATTCACTTATTTATAATAATATTTTTAAAAGTTTTGTAATTCATCCACTTCAACTCTACGTGCTTATAACATCATTTTATTTACATTTTTTCTTACCATACAAAAAATGTGTTTGTTCCAATTAAGGTATCATAGAGTTTTTGTACCTAGTTGTCCAAACATATAGCCCTTCTTATAATATCTCTTAGTCCTAAAAGATGAGATCCAAGAGGAGAGTTGTGTTTAAAGGATAGGATACTCAGAGTTCCGACCAAATGATGTGTCTGTGGACAATTGTATAAGCGAGTAAGTTGGTTTAGAGCGACAGCTCACTCACCCTACTAACAGTTCTTAATGCCCTTTGCAGTGCGTAAAAGTCTTTCTTAAGCAGGTTAGAAAAGATTAAGCTGCAAAGAGTAATGATGGAGAAAAGGTAGAGAATAAGAATTAGCAAACTGTAGAAGTAGAAACCTGCGTTGCTGGTATAGTGGTAGAATGCTCACCAACCACGCCTCACGTGGTTTGGGGTTCGATCCCCGGCCACCGACGCACTCCTGCACTTCTCTAAGCCAGTAATAAGACTGGTAAAGGAGGGAGGTTGGTCTTGAGGCTAGCAACCCTATTTCGTAAGAGTAAAAACACCACTGCTACCGAAACTTCAGGCATCTAACCTGAAGCCCTATGTTCCAATAGGGACGTAAAGGATTAAATAATAATAATAATAATAATAATAATAATAATAATAATAATAGAAGTAGAAACTGAGTGATACCATATTGTATTAACTTCCTTATGTAGAAAGTTAAATGAAGTCTCCTTCTAGAAACTAACATAACGAGGTAAGAGGAGGGAAGACCGGAGAAAAGACATAATCCAAGGCATATAAAATTTTACTCAGTTTTAAATTGAGTGCCATTTATAATATAAGAATTATAACAACGAACTAGTTCAAGTGAATCACGTTTGCCTCTGAAAGTGAAACTAACAGTGTTTGGTTAAGAGACCATTCGACAAGGATCACCGATAAACGACACTGATTTTGAAGCAATCTGATTAATAAGTAACGCGTATGAAAAAATAGTCTAATCATCGTAATACCTTGGCACAATTCTCCTTCATCAGACTGAAGCAAGTCATGTAGGAAGAAAGAAAACAGAAAAGGAGACACCGGTTACGGTAAGTAAGACAGTGCGAGATTTTCGTTTGCATATACCGTAGGGCTTCCTATTAAAATGTAAGAATGAGACTATTTATTGAACCAGTACCCTCTGCTTGAATCACAACTAGCTTGTTTAACGAAAAAAATAGGCCGAGGTACAGAGTCAGTCAGATGTGTAACCAAGGAAGGCACGCCATTGTCTATGATGTATGTATGAATATATATTCTCTTGTGTTTCTCCGCCTTCTTTTCATGTCTCACATGTTTTGTCGCAATTCTGAATCATTTGCTCTGTCTGAGGTCAAATCTCTCTTCGCTATTGCATATTGTTATTCTGATGAACGTCTCTTCATATACTATTGACAAATGTTATCAGTAGCACACGTCATATGAATATATATATATATATATATATATATATATATATATATATATATATATATATATATATATATATATATATATATATATATATTAGACAAGTATGTGCGAATTATTCCCTAACAAGTGGTAAAAAAGTTTGATTTATTAATGGAGGAAATGGTGGTCACTTTGAATCCACCATGGTGATATTTTCTGCTCATTTGCTGTAATTATTACTATTGTTTCATTTCAACTCTTAGTGTTACTATTTATCCGTGATTCATTTAAAACTATCCTTCGTCACTACCAGCATCTTAACTCGAATTATTATTATTATTATGAACACAAGTCAGCGAAGTGATCTGTTTTCGTAACTTCACTTTAGAGTTATATAGTGATTTGGG